TTTTTTTAAAAAATATCCCTCGCCAGTTTGGTTCAGTGGATAGAATCGGCCTGCAGACTTTAGGGTCCCAGGTTCAATTCCAGTCAGGGGCACATACCTCGGTTGCAGGCTCAATCCCTGGCCCTAGTTGGGGCACATGCAAGTTGCAATGAATCGATGTGTCTCTCTCACATCGATGTTTCTCTCTCTCCCTTCCTTTCTTTCTAAAATCAATAAAATCATTTCTTTAAATTAAAGACTATAATACTGCAGACCATCAAAATCCTCCAAATCTTTTTCTGATAAAACAGACAAGATGCATTCTAATATATTTTACTCTGAAGATATTTATATGAGTGCCATATTATAATGCATGTGGGGTTTCTAATTAAACCCCTACCCTGAAATGAACTAGAAATTCCAAAGATTTCCATGTTTTGAGGTATTTTCCTAATATCAATGAATATACTAGAAATGCAATTGCTTTTCCGCACATCTATTAAAATAGGAATTCATTTGCTTTAGGATTCATATTGTGGCAGCATAGTAAGAAGCTAGGAAAATTCCTGGGCAAGTAGAATAGGGAAACTGACACAAGAAAATTAAACAAGGCCAAACAACCAGCTTGTGAATCACAAGACCTTATCTTCCCCAACAAAGGACACCTGAAAGCTTATGGTTTCTACCTCCCTGTCCTAACCAGAGAACACATAGCTTAAATAACCCTGGTCAGGCAGATAGAGGACAAAGACCCAATCAATGCCATTTGTACCAGCTAAACCCAAGGACAAATGAAGTCAGGGGAACAAATAACAACCCCATTAAAGCCAGGCAGACCCAAAATAAAAGTAAAACAGACCAAAGAATAATCCCAAACTTTCCTATAGAGTCATTTTGATGCATCAGCATATTAAAAATATACATGGAAAGCTGATGAATATTTTGCTGAAACCCTCCCCTAAGATTCTCACCTGCAGCAAAGAAAACATTTTAAAAAGACAAAGACCCAGTGTGGGCTCACTCGAGAGCATGCCCATGCCCCTTCTCTGGCATAAACTTTTTATTTCCCCCTAAACTCCAAGGTTCCCCACAAGACTTGCAACCAGGGGAGCTTACCCCCGATTCTGTCTCAAGGCCTTCTTGTCTCTGACTTCCCAGTAGGCTAAGGCAGCCCCGCCTTGGCTCACTTCTCTCCTATAATGTTTCTAGACAGCCAAAGCACAGCACCGCCTCGCCTTTCTCCTGTTGCTTCTGCTACCCTAAGCCCTTCCTTTGTTTCACTGTCCCCAGCTTTAATAAACATCTTCTCAAAATCACCTGGACTCATATTGTGAAATCTTTCCTGCACAAAGTCAAGAACCCACACACTACCGGCCAGCCTCAGACGCAGAACCACTCCGGGCCTGTCCCTATCCGTAACCATATGACCTTTCAATTGTCAAACTTCTCTAGAGATAGAAACATACAAATGATGACCAAAAAATGGAAAAAGCACCTGAGACACCCATCTCCCATCTTTTGGTTCTCTTGCCTAAAGAGAACCAAAATTCCATTAATTACAGAATTTTCTTGCCTTTCATTGTGGCTCTCAGTTAACTTACCTATTAAAAGCCCAAGCGCTAAGGTAAACTAGAAAAGAACTGTAATATTCAATGGAGAAAAAATATCCAAAGAAAAGAAACCTAATGTTGAAATCCAAATAGAGCAGGCTGCTTCCCTAGAATTCAAAAGAAAAGGCCACGTTAAGAAAATTGAACGTCAGTGTGAATGAAAGGGAAAAGGGGCTCCGTAATAAATCTGACAAAGCTCAGCGAAGGAAACTCACTCACCTCACAGGGCGATCTAATCACAGATTCCTAACTGTGAAGGTCAGGAGGGTCATCCAGCCTCCGGCCTCATATCCCTACCACAATGCTTATTTACCTTAAGCAAGCCCAGTCCATTGTTCTAAACACACCTTTGAAATTCGAGAAAGTCATCTGTCTTCTTTAGACCCCTGGGCCTTAACAAACCTCAAAGGAGCACATAATTTTGATCGGTGTCCTGTAACCCAGCCCTGGCCTTGCCATCTTTCACCTTCATCTAATCTTCTGTTTCCTCTTTAACTCCAAAGGTTTTAAAAGAACTGCAAACTCAGTCATTTTGTTACCAGAACAGGGACCTGGCTTTGAGCAGGTCTGCACAGGGCTGGCTGGTACTGTGTGTGGGTTCTTGACTTGGTGCAGAAAAGATTGCACAATACGAGTCCAGGTGATTTATAGAGAATGTTTATTAAAGCTTAGGGGGTGGGGGGAGTGGGGTATGGGAGATATATGTAATACTATCAACAATAAAAAGTATATTTAGCCCTGGCTGGTTTGGCTCAGTGGATAGAACGTCGGCCTGCAGACTGAAGAGTACCGGGTTCGATTCCGGCCAAGGGCACATGCCCAGGTTGCAGGCTCAATCCCCAGTGGGGGGCATGCAGGAGGCAGCCGATCAATGATTCTCCCTCTCATCATGTTTCTATCTCTCCCTCTCCCTTTCTCTCTGAAATCAATAAAGATATATATATATTTTTAAAGTATATTTAAAAATGAAAAAATAAAGCTGGGGACAGTGAAACAAGGAAGGGCCTAGGATAGAAGTAACAGGAGAGGGACTAGGTGGGGAAATGAGCCTAGGCCAGGCTGCTTTGGCTCACTAAGAAGTCAGAGAAAAGGGTGCCTTGGGTCAGATGATTAGCCGGGGACCAGCTGCCTGACACCCTTAGAGTTTGGAAGAAGAGGGGGAAGGGACAGGCCTGGACATGTGTGCTCCTGGGAGGGAGCACTGCATGCTAGGTCCTTGGTGTTTAAAGGCTGGGAGTTTGGGGGAGGTCTTAGTGGAGGATCAATAGGCTATTCATCATCTTTATGTTGGTGCGCCAAAATGAGATGTATTCCCTTAACTTCATCTGTCCCTGGACGTCTGCTGTCTGTCTCCCTGAGTAGGGGTGATTTAAGCTATTTATCCTCCGGTTGGGGAGAACTGTAAACCACTTACTCCCAAATGCGACCATTTTGTCGATTAACCAAGCCATCCACAACGTGTCACTGTTTGGTGCGGATTTTGGGCTGGAGGCATCATCAGACCATTCTTCTTCGAAAATGCGGCTGCTCAGGCAATAACAGTTAATGTTGCTCGCTTTGCGACATGATAATCCATTTACCCGATATGCTATTCCATACATAACCCTATACTGTATACTTTATGAATCAATAAAAAATTTACAATTTTTAATTATAAACCTGTGTTTTCTATCAAAATTACTTCTTGCGTGAATTTTGGGACACCCTTTAGATGGCTACAAACTGCTTAACTATCTCAGTTTCCCTAATCTGTTTGCCCTGGCTTACTAGCCTGTCTCATTTTGAGATCTTGCTTCAAGGCCTATCCTGTATTTAGAGCAAATAAATTCTAATAAACGCCTTTTAAATTTTCCTACAAATTTGGGCTTTTTTATGTCAACACCAGATTTGGAGCTTAGACAACCCCAGTTGAGACAAAACCCCTAGCGTTGGTCAGTCCGTGGAAAGGAAGGGGGGGGTGGGGCGGGGGAAGACACCTGAGCAGCCCCAGGACTGAACTCTCAGAGCTCCACACACCCTCCCCTCTTGTAAACATGGAACCGCTCCCACTCTCGGGCATCCATTCGCACAGTGAAGAAACTCAGAGCCTGATTTAGTTTAAGGTTCTAACCCAAATGGCCCCCAATTTCATGAACCATTTGTCCATGGGATAAAACACCTGATCTTCACACTTTCTCAGTGTACACAAACGATAATCTGAGGGCAAAACAACCACAAAACCCAAAAATGCCTAAGCCTAAAAAGCCATAACCACAACCTCAGAAAGGGCACCATCACGGCCACCGTATCCCAACCCTCCCTGTGGTGCTCCCCATCCCCACCCCGCCTCGCACCCCCAGCTTTCCAGGGCTTCCCGGCTTTTCTCACGAATCTACCTTGAACAATTCCACTTTGCAAGACTAAGCCCTGGAATTATATATTAAAGCTCCGAAAATAACACACACGTCAGAAACTGACTATACATGCTCAGGAAGAGTGAGAGAATTCTACAAAAATAGAATGTAATACTGCAATATTTTATGTTTTGAGTTCACAACCTTCCTGCCTGTTTGGAACTACTTTATACTGTCTTCCAAGCTCTAGCGATTAAATGCATTTTTACTCTTGTTGAAAACAAATCATACTTAAATTAATAAATGTATTCAAGTGACAAACCCAGGGAAGGAGCAGTGATGCCAAGAGAGAACAACCATGACTTCCCATAGGACGTCTGGGCCCAGGAAACGGGCTGGGGAAAGACCAAGGAGGAGTTCTTCCAGGTGGTTACTGTCGGCTTTCCCCTCATGTCAAGTAGCCACAACCAATATAAATCGTTAAAAAAAAAAAAAAGACTATTTTTTGAAAAGTCAAACTGTGACTCCAAGACGGACACTTGGCTTTGGGAATTTACTAGTAAGGATGGATTTGGAAATTTAGAGATGTATACCGCTCCTAGGAAGAGCCACTCGGGGGAACAGAATCTTGGATTTGAGAACTGCTTTCCAAACAGGTCGAAAACTCAGGAAAAAACGGAACCCCAGGGGTTACAGGAGGACCACGGCTCCTCCCACTCGTGAATCCGGGAAGCCAGGGCGGAGCTGCGCCCAGAGCGGTCTCGCGTCCGCAGACTTCAGACTTGACCCCGGGGGAGACGGGTCTTGCCCCGGATGGTTCCAGGGGCCCCGGTCCCCGTCTCGGACTCCCGGCCACGTACACTCACCATTTCCCAGCTTCTGGGGTCCCCTGGCGCGGTCCTTTCCGCTCCCGCGGCGGGTGCAACTCACAGCGGGACCGACGCCGCAGCAAAGATACCTGCCCCGTTCAGCGCAGGTGAGACTCGACCCCGGTCAGCCACGCAGGCCCCCGGGTTTGCTGAGAGCGGCCCCGCCCACCTGCCCCGCGCCGCTCCTGATAGGGCAGTTCGCGAGGACCCGCCTCCCTCACTCCTGAGTGACAACCGAGGGAACAGCTCAGGTGGTTGAGCAGAACCAGCTTCCGCTGGTGGGCGGGACCATCCTCCAGGGACGTTTGCTTTTTTTTTTTTTTTTAAACGCAACATACAAACTTATTTAACAAAAGTAAAAGGTAAAGTCAAACGGGCACTAATATTAGGAGAAAAAGCAACTAGAAGAAATTTTATGTTAAACACCTTACAGTAACCTGCCCCCAATTGCATTAACTGATCTGTTGCTGTGACGACACAGCTCATGCCCATGAATGGATGAACGATTTGAACAGTTTCAAATGTCCACTGAATACTAGCATATATACATATATATTAAATTGGGGGAGGGAAGAATGTAATTGACGGTCCCCCGATATACTTTGGGGAGAGGTCGTCTAGAGAGAAAAATACGTGCTTCTGGCTCCTGAATCGCGTTATGAACCCAGCCTAGACTCTGCTGGACGCCAAGTGTCTTCAGACATCAGCGGGTTTGGAAAACTTGTTTGGAAAAGTTCTCCGGGTGACATGGCATCCCTGTGTTCATTGTGCTCGTGGAAGTATTGGTCAGAGCACTCGATCTGTTTGTGCGCCGTTCTGCTGGCAAGTGGGAGGTGCACGCGGGTGGGGGGCGGTGGCGGGAGGCGCAGGGAGAGCGGGTCAAACATACCCCTCCCTCCAAGGCCTGGATTGTGCTATGACCAACCCCAGGGACATTTGCTTTAAACAAAACTTCCTGCTTCTAGGATATTGGTGTCTTCCCGCAGCTTATTCTGAACGGAGACACAGATGTGCAGAGGGAATTTCAAATTGTTGCCCGTCCTTGTCCTCAGCAAAAGGGCCGCCCAGGCCAAGCCAGACTGGGACCAGGGGGTCAGAGGTCCTCTCCGGGTCAGAGGTTGGCAAACATACTTTAAAAAGTTTACAAACACACTTAAAAATAACCTCACCATATGCAGTGGAGAGTTTGGCTCCATTTTCATGTTTATTGGCAGCATTTAGACTTCCACGCATCCCATCTCTACCTCTATACATGTGGCACTTTAGCTAAGGAGTCCCATGGCTTCCCAAACATTTGGATCTGGTGGCAAATTTGAACCCAGCAGAGCCACATGGGTCACATGGGTGCAGGGACTCTTCTATGTTCAATCACAAGCTTGAACTGTACTCAATAAAACTCACAGGCGTACGTTTTACAGTAGGAGGGAAAATTTTCTTATAGTTGTGTTTTTTTAATTCTTTAAATATATTTTATTGATTTTTTACAGAGAGGAAGGGAGAGGGATAGAGAGTTAGAAACATCGATGAGAAAGAAACATGGATCAGCTGCCTCCTGCACACCTTTCGCCAGGGATGTGCCCACAACCAAGGTACATGCCCTTGAACGGAATCAAACCTGGGACCTTTCAATCCACAGGCCAACACTCTATCCACTAAGCCAAACTGGTTAGGGCTATAGTTGTGTTTTAATCCTCACCTGAGGACATGCTTAGAGAGAGGGAAGAAGGGAGGGAGGGAGGGAGGGAGAGAGAGAGAGAGAGAGAAACATGGATGTGAGAGAGAAACCTCAATTGGTTGCCTTCTGTATGTGCACCTACGGGGGATCAAACCCCAAACCCAATTATGTGCCCTGACCAGAATCCAACCGGCAAACTTTCAGTACGCAGGACAGCGCTCAACCAACTGAGGCACTCCAGCTGGGCTCTTTTTATAGTTTTTGAGTGTGTGCCTAGAGATTTTGTAATGTAAATGGCTATGATATCCATAGGCAATTGAATTTCTATTTTCACCAACATAAAAAAAACAATAAAAGATTTTGGAAAATTGGATGTATATGAAAACTCAATATACTTAACTCATTGGTTCAAACTTCTAATTATTTATATATTTAAATAGCTTTATTGAAGTACAATAATCATGCTATATAATGCTTCCCTTTAATGTGTACAACTCAGTGGTTTTCAATATACTCACAAACAACATATCCAATTTGGCTCAGTGGATAGAGCATTGGCCTGTGGAATGAAGGGTCCCAGGTTCGATTCAGGTCAAGGGCATGTACCTTGGTTGCTGGCACATCCCCAGTAGGAGGTGGAGGCAGCTGAACAATGTTTCTCTCTCATCGATGTTTCTAACTCTCTATCCCTCTCCCTTCTGCTCTGTAAAAAATCAATAAAAACAACAACAAAAAAGAACCCCTATACCCTATAACTATTATAACTATCAATTCTCCATCTTTTCATGTTCCACCTGAAAGCCACAGTCCTCTTATCTTTCTCTTTCTATGGAATTCCCTGTTCTGGATTTACATATGAATAGAATCATATAAGAGGTTGTCTTGATAACTAACTTCAGTAACAGCTTAATTTTTTCAAGACATCCAGAAAATAGCATGTATGGGATACTTCATTTCTTTTCACAGCCAAATAATATTCAATCATTTGGATAAAGCACAATGTGTTTATCTATTAATAGTCATTTGGTGTGATTCCAGCTTTTGGCTATTCTGAATAATGTTACAAAAAAGCCTATATGGCCCTGACCCAGTAGCTCAGTTGGTTAGCGTGTCATCCCAATATGGCAAGGTTGCGGGTTCGATCCCCTGTCAGGGCACATACAAGAGTCAACCAATTAATGCATAAATAAATGGAACAACAAATCCATCTCTCTCCCCCCCCCCTTTTCCTCTCTCTCTAA